CGGGGAGGCCCTTTCCCGGGCGGGCACCGCTCCCCTCCGGGCTGGGGCCCCGGGGGCGCGCGGCGAACCGAATCCACACCCGGGGCTGGGAGGACTGACCCCAGCGTGCCCAGGAGCCGGCTGCCCGCTGTGCACCACCCGCACCCCGCGCACTCAGGGGGACCAGACCCCGCCGGCCTGACCCCCGGGCGCCTCCCCGGAAGGAAGCAGCCCCTCACCCCACCCCGGGCTGCTCCCCTGTATTCCGCACCGGACGACAGACGCCACGAGAGCGCATGTTGTTCACGAGTGGGAAGAGGCCCAGCTGGCAAGGCACCTTCCCACGGTGTAGACCCACGGACGGATAGTCCCCTCCTGTCCTGTCGCACCTAGGCTGTGCCACCAAGACTGAAAGGAAGTCCCAGAATCGGGCAGGTGGTGCCCCGTCCAGCCTGGGGGACGGCCCGGGTCATGCCTCAGCCCGTAGCTCGCCTCCGTCACCCACCTTCTCTGGCACTCGTGGGTCGGTCCCCCTAGCCGGCTGGGTGCCAGGCAGTGGGGTTAGAAAAAGCTTGATATTGCATGTTAATTATTCCCAGTTATTCTGTCTCTTTTCCAGTAGGATGTGGGAACGGTGGTGGAGTTGGGGGGGGATTTAAAGAAAACAGACCCTGCCCGCCACGAGAATTCGTCTCCCCGGGAACGTGAGTCCCGCAGACTTACTCTGTGAAGATGCCATTCAACGGCAGGTTAGCGCTGCAAACGACCAGCTCTGCCTTTAGAACCTTCACAGACTTAAGGATGTCTCCGGTGGGTTTTCATTTCAGGGCTGTTGGGATGTCCGCTGAGTGCTTCGTCGTGACATGCTTAGGCGCTGGGGCATGGGCTTCAGTGCTGTTCAAATTTGGTTTGGTTTCACTTATTCAGGGAGGTCTTATCCGTGGATTACAGGACACCGAGTGTGGGTGTCCTCTTCACTGAAACCTGCAGTCTGCTGCTAGAGAGGGGTTCCTGTCCCCCGGAGGTGCAACTCTCTGTGAAATGTACCTTCCTGCTTCTGGAAAAGTATGTCCGCACCCAGCACCAAAGTCCATTTTCACAGGCCCCACCGATTAGCCCAGAGGGGTGCGTGGCGCGCCCTGGCACACAGAGCCTGGGCAGAGCCGGCTCGGGTGGGAGGCAGGCCCTGTCGTCCCCTGGGAGTGGCTGTGTCTCCACAGCTATATGTTTTGCACGTTTGGGTTCTTCCTACTCTAGCTGGTGTGAAAAATGAGCTACGTGAGAAGTTTGAAGGTTACTGAAAAAAACATGAGCCCGTCTTCCCTATGAGGAGTTATCCCACAGGTGCGGGATTCCCTGCAGGAAGCCTCGCTGTGGCCGTGGCTCGAGGTGGTCGTCGTCTGGCCCAACCTGTGCCCCAGGAATGTGAGGATCGGGCTCTGTCATCTTTGGCAACACCAGGGACGTGCAGGGATGAGGGGACCTGATTTGGGGACTGTGATCCTTAAGATGTCCGTGTGACATCATTCTGCTTGACAGTGGGGGGCCTCAGCCTGCGTGAGGCCGGCGTTGAGGACAGGAGCCGTTGCCGTGTCGAAAACAGTTATGTTCCCAAACAGTGAGCAATTCTAGTGATGTCATAGGCGCTGCCGGAGGGCCCAGATCAAATTGGTTCTGGTGTTGCCACAGCCTCCTGTAACACTATCCTGAGGGGATGACACAGGCTGGCCCCGGGGTCAGGACAGTGGACAGGGCTGGGCCTTCAGGTAGGGGGCCCTGCATGTTTCTGGGGTGACATTTCAAAACAGCTTCTATTCAGAGGAGGGCAGAGCTTAGCAAGGAATCACACAGATCAAGGAGCAGCAGAAATGGGGTTCTGGGGGCACTGGGCGCCCCCTCCGCTGGCAGGGCTCAAAGACGGGGTGGCATCTGTGGGGTGCCGTGAGCCCCGGGGTGGAAGCACCGAATGAGCAGCCGCAGAGCAGGGCTCGGGCAGAGCGGAGGTGGCCTCCCCACGTGTCTTCACGCCCGGCTGAAACCTAATCCTCCTTCTTGGGCCCTCATGTCACGGCCTCAGCCCCGGCTTCCCAGCAGCTCGGTGCGGGCGAGCTGCTGCCTCTTCCCCAAGGGAAGGAACTCTGCCCATGAAGTCATGGGAATAGAAGCTCCCTTTGCCCCCAAAACAGTGGGAGCCTCCAGTCAGCTCGTTGTGTGGCCTTTGCTGTTTACCCAGGCCTTCCAAACACATGATGTCATCCAATTCTCAAGTCATGTCATGGTCCCCATGCGCAGATGGGGAAACTGAGGCTCCGCTATTAGGATTGGCCCAAGGTCACGGAGCTACCAAATGAAATCACATCCATGTTCTTTCTCACTTCTACCCAGAGGGTCTGTTGGGTTATTTTCTCCGTGTTTTCAATAGATTAACGAAAAATATTAGTCTTAAACTCACCTCTCAGTTTAAGGCAAGAGGGTAATACTGGAGGTTCTGTTTGCCATTTTGGTAAGAATCACATGCTTAAATGTGATCACAATAACCCCAGCCCCAACCCCGGAAGATCCTGGGACAGTCCACTTGCTTTGAGGAGGTCACATTGGCTCCTGGGGTGTCCATCCCGAATGGGAATTACTTCCCTCGTGAAGACTCTTGCCACAGTCTGCTTCGTTTCTCAATTAGTCAGCTTCATGTCTGGCTGCCCTCCCATGTGCCCGGCACTGGGGAGCCCCGGAGGATCAGCTGCACACACAGCCACGCTTTAGGCTGCGTGTCCCACACGGTGCTGGGCCGTGGGGTCAAAGAACAACACGGCCCTGGAGGAGCGGATGTCCTCAGCTCCCACGTGGCTGTGCCCATCCCTCTTCTTAAGTGACAGGCTCTAGGTCAATACGCTTGCTTTTCACCTGGGCTGACTGATTGACCAGCCAACTGGAGCTGTGGTCTAAATTGACTATACAGAACTGTCAGTTGGCCAGTCCATTTATTTACAGCTACATGAGGGTGTTGACACCTGATTCCAGCAGTCACCGTCCCTGCCTGGTACAGGGAAGATGCTCAATAATACGAGGGTCTTGTCTGGGAGGTGTGGGAGGACCCAAGTCCGATGGAAGTGGCTGGAGGCATCGCTGGACGCTGGCTCACCTGGGAGCCGAAGGGGGCAGAGCCTGCATCAGCTGTGCTGGGCCTGGCTGCTGAGGGCACATGTGCTCACTGAAGGCTGGGGTCTGCTAAGGGGTCTCAGTTTACCCAGCACCAGCTGTGGGAAAGACAACGTGCGCCCGCTTGGCAGACATGAGCACTGTGGGGCAGGGGAGGGAGGTTTCACTCCCCCCACACCCCTGTGGGCCTCAGAGTCTGGGGGGCTTTTGCACATGTTCCAAGGCTACCCATTCCCCTTTCTAGGAGCCCATATTAGCCCCAAACCTTCTTTTTTTTTGTCTTTTTTACTGACTGGCAACAGGATCGCAACCCTCGGTGTTGCGTCCACACCGCGCTCAGCCAGTGAGCGGGAACCGGTCTCCACATGGGATCCGAACCCTCGGTGGGAGCGCCACTGTGCTCCCAAGCGGCGCACTCTCCAGTGTGCCACCGGGCCGGCCCAGTAGCCCCAAACCTTCTAATGAGGCTTCATTTTCCTGGGGACTTTCATCATGGAAGAGGATGCCTTGGGTTGCTCACGGGCCTCTCGGGTGCATGAGTGTGTCAGTGCCAGTCACATAGTCAGAGCCCCTCCGAATGTGTGATCAGTGAGCTGCAGACCTTCCCTTTGCCCTCCCGATGCCCTGCCCCAGGGCCCTCTAGGACTGTCTCGGTAGCTCTCTGCCTTCTGGATTCTGGTTGGTTTTGCCTGGTGGGAGGCACTGTCGGGAGACTGGGGGACAGGTGAGCACGTGAGATTGGGGCATCAGTTCTGTCATGTCCTCCCTGTGGGACCACAGATGGCAGCGGCTGCATTCCCTTGCCCAAGGCCCAGATCGCCACGGCCCTCTCTGAAGGCACTCTGGAGTCTCACCTGCTCCTTCCCGTGCCCCTGGAGGCAGAGGGGTGGGGACGGCTCCCCACTGTTGCAGTCCTGGGGAGCTCTCCAGCCCACAGCTTGGAAACAGGAGGACTTGGTTGCCCCTGAATAGGGCGGCTCAGCTCATCAGAGAGGGTATAGTTCAGTGCCCCAAAGCTGAGGGCCAGGTCCTGGTGCGGCTTGAGCCCCCCAGCCCAGCGACTGCCCCCCATTCCCAGAGGGTGTGCAGAGGAAAGCAGGCCTCACTCTAGCACGTCAGCCACCCATTCGAGTCTCCATTTTCTACCAGCCATTCGTCTGACTTCCTTCAATAACTGTCTAGAAAACGTTTCAGAAGATTTCCATACGGAAACCAAGTCAAGGGCCCCAGAAGCCCTTGTCCTTGTTTTCACCCAATCCGCCGGCTGATGTGGCTCTCCTCAGGTCCCGGCCCTTGCTCTTTGGGGGCGGGAACCCGAGGCCCCGCTCTGCCTGGGGCAAAACGGATCCTGAACTACAGAAGCAGGTGGGACACAGGGGTAGCAGAGGCCCCTCGGGGCCCTGGTGGGGTTCAAGGAGGAGCCAGGGGCTGGCCCTGGAGCAGAAACCCAGATCCAAGGGGACAGGAGCCACCCAAGTCTTCAGCAGGCCAGTGTCAGGCTGGATCCGATTCCGAACGCAGCTGCGTCCTCTGACATAGCCTGTGACAGAGGGGACATGCCACTCGGCACCCAGTGAGAGTCCTTTATTGCCTCTTTGATTACAAGCTTGGCGCCTCGTTCAGGACATGAAAGAAGGCGCACAGAGGCTGGGCCAGCCCTGCATGGGACCCCAGTCAGCCTGAGGGGCTCTGGGACAGGCCTGAGCCACCTGAGTCATGCCACGTGCTGGCAGGAGAGCCCATTGGTCACGACCCACCACCCTCTCTCGGGAGCATGCTGGGAGCAAGCCACCAATGCACCCAAGAGGCAGCCCCGCAATGTGCAGATTTCGCATCGGTGGGCCTCCCCGGAGAGAAACTGGATTCTGAGGCAGAGCCTTCGTTTTGAGGCAGATCACGTAAGAGCAGGGGAAGGCCTGTCAGAGCGCACTCCCTCCCTGCTCGCCTCCCTGGCCCTTCCCTGGGGCCCCCCACCCCCCGCCTCCTTCCTTCCTAGTGCATTCATGGGGGTGACACACGAAGAGTTGGGCGGAGGCCTCCTTTGTCCTCAGAAGCAGATTTGGGAACATGGTGCCAACATGGAGAGGCTGGGTTGGGGAGAGCCCAAAGCCTAGCTTCGTGTGTGGTGACATGAAGCCTGAGGCCAGACAGGGGAGGCTGCAGGCCCTGGTCACACAGCAGGGGCCCAGCAGACGCAAGGATCTGGTGCTGGCCCATCCCAAGGTCCCTCCTTCCTCAACAGCCTCGGCTTCCTGGGCTGCTCCGTGTCCACCCCCAATTTGTGCAGCTCCTCTGAAAGCCACCAGTGGGACACAGAGGCAGGGACAGCTGACATTTGCAGAGCGCATGAGTTCTGAGAATGCTGTCCTGGACCCACTGGCTCCTGTCTCTGAGGTCTCAGCAACCCCCAGGGGCAGCCGCACGGCGTCCCCCATTACATGACTGGGCAGAGTTCAGGCCCTGGCCACTGGTCAGCTCGGTTTGCTGTGGTGGCTCCAGAGACCAAGGCTGTGTCCTCTCAGCCGTGCCATCTGACGTGCCCTGGTAGCCCGAACCTGGCCTGAGTTCTGGAAGGGATAGCAGCTCCAAATGAACAGACAGGCAAAAATAAAAGGGTCCAGCCCACGGGGTGACCACAGGAGGAGCTGCTCTGGGAACCCTCTCTTCGGAGCCCCTTTCCCACTCAGTGCTCCTGGGCGGGGCTGAAGGGCTGGGTCCACCTGGAGACATCCAGGAAGATGGCAGAGGCCCCGTGGTAGAGCCAGAGGCGGGGCAGGGCACCGTGGCGGGTCCAGGCATCACGCACGGTGTTGTAGACCTCCATCTCCACGTGGTAGTCGCCATCCATGCCCTGCCAGCGGCCTCCCGTCACGTACAGCGCGTCGCCCAGTGGCACCAGCGCGCCATTCTCATGCAGGCTGTGCAGGGACTGCACCTGCGGACAGTCAGCTGGTCAGTGTCCAGCGGGCAGCCAGAAGGAAGCAGCAAGGGGGGTCGTTGGTGGGGGTGGGGGACAGGTGAGGAGGACGGCCAGGTGCCTGGCTCAATGTCCTGTCCAGGACACCAGCACACCGGTTCCCTGGGGAGCTTAGCCCCAAGTTCCCCGTAGCTTCCTCAGACTCTCCCGTTAGCGGGGAGACCTCACTGTTCCCCTCTCTGGCCCACATCTCCAGCCCCCTGCAGTTGGGGTGGGGGGATGCCAAGGCCTGAGCCCAGAGCCTCCTCCCACAGAGGTCTGAGCTGAGCCTCGGCTTCACAGTGGCTCTCGTGGAGGGCGCAGGTGTGGCTCAGCCCCAGCAGACACCCAGGAGAGCTGAGCCCTCCATAGGACCCCTCATCCACCCTTGCACCCCTCGCCCCAGCCCATGGTTCACGAGTGCCCTGGAGAGGGGTCATGGGATGAGGGTTTCTGGAAGAGCCCAGGGTGGACAGGAAGGGTGAGGCCTATCTGTGACCTTCCACACGAAGACGGCAACTGGCGGCCAGGCTTGGAGAGGCAAAGTAGAGCCCCACATTGACGGGACCCCAGCCCAGAACAGTGGCCTCCCTGCCGTAATGGGGGGCCTCGGGTCTACTGTAATGGGGGCCTCGGGTCTGCTGAGCACTGATGCCAGGGAGAGGTGCGGGCAGCAGGATTGCAGAGGTCCTGCTGTCACCCGGTGGTCAGCACAGACTTTGGTGGCTTCAGGAAGGGGTGCCACCTCCTCGGCCTCCAGAGACTCAAAGGGGCAGGCCCAGGCATCCGGCTTGGCACTGAGACCCATCATGGGCCTCCTGGACACTGTCCCTCTTGCTGCAAGGGAAGCTGCTCGGAGGACATGCTCGCCTCCCATCCCGTCCCCTGTGTCCGATGGCTCAAGAGGAAGTGTGTGGTGGATGGCACTGGGGTTGGGGGGCCAAGGAGCTGGCTGCCCCTGCCACTCCCACCGCTCAGGAGCCCTTCCCTGCTGACCCCCCAGGGCAGGGCCCACCCCCTCTTGGCCAACAACAGGAAGGTGTCCCTTTCCTCTAGTCCGTGGCTGAGCCTGGTCTTGCTCCCTGATGAGGGGGACAGGCCACCCCTGCCCAGGAAGAAGGCATGCAGGGGACAGAGCACTGGTGGGGACCAGCAGCCCAGCAGCCGTGCTCTCCCCGTCGCGGGGCCCGCACCCGTGCCTCCCTGTGCTGTTGGCCCCTTGGTGGCCCAGCCGCCCATCCCACTGTTTGCAGGCCTGCGCTCTGCGGTGTCAGGAGTCCCGGGCAGTGGCTCTCCACCCGGGGTGGGGCACGGGGGGCGGGGGGGCCCACCTTCTGCCACAGGTTGGCCCCGGGGTCGTACACATAGACCTTCTTGGTGTTGTCACCAATGAGGTAGAGCGTCCCGTGCAGTGCCGCGCAGCGTGGCGAGGACAGGTACTTGGGCAGGAAGGGCGAGGCGATCACGCTCCACGTATCTGCAGGGACACGGGCCCACCTTCACCAGGGTCTCCAAGGTGGGCTCCTCCAGAGGGGAGGTCGTTTCCAGTCTGAGGACCCAGGGCCAGGGAACTCTCTGAGCCTCAGTGAACCCATCTGCGAAATGGGAGTGGGCCCCTGGCGGTGCGGCCGTGGAGGTCCACAGGGCCCGAGCGCTGGGGCAGGTCCACTCCCTCCCTGTCACTGAGCCTCACTCTCTCCCTTCAGGAGAGGAGGGGACGGTGTGGGGATCCCTCAGGAATCTCACCCTCAGGAGGGGCTATGCCCTGGTCCCCATCCTGACTGGGGACTGCTGTGAGCCCCTGGTCCTCCATCTCCTTCCTGGCCTGTCCCTGTCCCCCAGGGTCTGGTAACCAAGTGGGCACAGCCCCTGGGTCCAGGAGGCTTCTCGTGGGATGCTCAGGCTCACACTGCTGAGCGGGTCCTGCTCTCACCTCCGCAGGCCAGAGGGAAACAGATTGGAGACCGGGGCCAGGAAGGCTGCTGAGCTAGAGAGAGCTGAGCTGGGACTCGAACCCCGGCAGGACAAGTCCACAGCCCGAGCTCCAGCATGCTGGGCCTGGAGGTCAGAGGTCGCTGCTCCCGGCCCATGAGGCCAGTTCCAGGACAAAGCAGCCAGGTAGCTTTCAGGACCCAGCTTGGGGCTGGGCTTCCCCGTCACTGCCCCTGGGCACCCCGCCCCCCAGCCCGGTCCCCCAGCTGCTGCACTGAGGCCTGGGCAGGGCAAACATGTGGCTTGCTTCTAGGCTGGGACGAGGCTGTGACCCTGCAGAGGTGAGCCCCTCAACCCCTGACCCCTCTGTCCCTGCCTTTTTCCACCATCCCATCCCCTCTGATGGGGCTGTGGCCCTTTGTAAGAGACCTGTGGCTGCCAGCTCCCTGTCCCCTGTCCTCAGGAGCTCCCCACACTCACCCTCACCGTCAGCCTCACTGTGATGTACAGTAGCCTTTCAGAGGGTGCCTGTGGTCACCTGTCCTGACCTCTGGGCCCCGCCCTGCACCCCTGTGTTGGGCTGTGTTGGGATGACAGTACTGCCACCTGGCTCCCCTGTCCCGACACCCCCAGCCCCACCCCACCCAGCGCCTGCCCACCTGTGACAGGGTTGTAGCACTGCAGGGCCAGCGCGTTGTATTTGCAGGCGCTGGAGCCCACCAGGTAGAGCCGGCCGCGGCAGCCGGCGGCCGAGAAGTTGCTGACGTACTTGAGGGCCGGGCTGGCAGGCGTCCAGCTGTCTGTGTAGGGGTCGTAGCTCTCCACCTCCACCACGTCCTGAGTGGTGCCTAAGGGGTGGGGCGGCTCAGCTGGCGGGGGGTCAGGGCTGCAGGGGGCTGGGGACGAGGGAAGCGTTCCTGGAAACTCAGGGTCCAGGCTTTGTAAGGCAGCAGCGGCCACCCCGGGTGTCCCAGCTCAGGCTGGGGGCGTGGAGGAACAAAAGCAAGAGCAAAGCGGCCCCCGTGGGTCCCCTCATCCTGGTGGCTTCCCAGTGACCCCAGCGGAGGGCTGAGCCCAATGGCTCGGGATGGCTGTGGTCATCTCTGCTGGCAGCTCGAGGCCTGAGCTCCTGCCAGGTCCCTGTCTGGGGACTTCCTCGTGGCCCTTCATTCTCTGTCCCTGTGTGCGTCAGCAGCACCGGGAGCTGGCTGTCGAGGGCACCCAGGCGGTGGGTGCTGATGGCCCGCCTGGCCGGAGCCCTGCTGTGGGGCTCACTCACCCTACCCGACAGCAGCCGTGGGAGCGGCGCCCCTGTGGCATGGGGCTCTGTCCCCACTGGGGCGTGGGGTGGGGGAGTCATTGCAGCAGGAATGAGAGGGAGGACGAGGAGGGAGGGCTCACCACCGATGGCGTAGATGTCCCCGTTGAGAGCTGCGCTGGCGTGGTTGGTGCGGGCCTTCAGCATGGGTGCCACGGGCTTCCAGGCTGCCTCCTTCAGCGGGAAGCACCAGGCCTGGGTGGTTGACCAGGTGTCTGTCTTGGTGCCCCGTGAGCCGCCTGCCAGGAGAGATTCTGTCCACACAAGCACCGCCAGCCTGGGGTCCTCTTGCCAGTGGGGACTGGGACCAATGTCTGGCCCCCTTACCCCCATGCCCAGCTGTGATTGTGAGTGTGGCAGGCCAGGGGCAGGACCGTGGCTGGCAAGTCTAGCTGGGTGACTTTGGACAGGTCCCTCCACCCCCCAGAAACAAGAGGGACAAGATCAGTGGCCTCAAACCTCCATCAGTGGAGCTTTCTCCACCAACCGAATCTTAAAAGGACCCCAATTTCACACAGCTCCTCTGGGGAGGCCCCGGCTGCAGGAGCACAGCAGGTCAGCACCCACGAGTGTACCCGTGGGTTTTAAACTTCCTTGTTTTCACACGCATGGAAAAGTCTGGAAGCGTCTTGACTAAATTGTCACGGATCCCACCGAGTGTGGGATAGTTGGACTCGGCTGTGCTGCGCAGTGCCCTTAGCTGGGCAGGGCTGCCCACCTGTGACATAGACGTCGTTGTTCAGGGCCGCCAGGGAGAAGCCCCACTTGTGGTAGTCGGGGAAGTCTGGGAGTGCCATCCACCTCTCTGGCAGGAAGAGAGAAGCAGCGGGGTCAGGGTGGCTGGGCTTCCTGCTGGGGCCCACCCTCCTCTGGCCTTGCTGGGGTGGAAGGGACGGGGCCCAGCTGCTGCAGAGGTCGGGGGTGACAGCTGGTGGGGTGGGGTCAGAGGTGGCCCTGGGCACTCTGGCTCAGCTTGGCCCACCTCTTTCACCACCTCCCCTCACCACCCTCCAGAACCTGGCACCCTGACTGGACACAGGATTGTGTCCAGGGATACGACAAGAGGCAGCCCCGGCTCTGGAGGCTGGGGTCTCACCCTGACCCTGCAGCCGACCCGTCTGGGTCTGCTCGCCCCTCAGTCAGATGGGTTAAGGGCCCTGATCTGTTGGTGTCTCTAGTGGGCTGTAACACAAACACCTCTCATTCACTCATTCCCCATTCATTCATTCATTCATCCTGACCACCGTCTCAGCCCACATGGCGGCCAGGGGTGTACAGGAGATCAAACACAGGCCTTGCAGCAGGCAGAACAGGGTCCAAATCCCGGTTTTGGTGCACCTGCTGTGTGGCCTTGGACAAATGCCAGCCTCAGTTTCCCCACCTCTCAGGGAGGTGTGGGCACTACAGGAGCAGATGTAGCTGGCATGTGGCCACTGCTCAGCTGACGATGGCCATTAGGATTATCGTCACTATTGTTGTGATGGACAGAGGAATGTGCCCAAGTCAGACCTGCCTCATGGAGGTACATAGGGTAAACTGAGGCAAGAGGTGAGGAAATATTTTGAAAAATCAAAATGAGACAATAAATGAGAGAAAGTTAAAGTCCTATAAATGGACATGTTTTGGGTGTTTGTGGAAGAGACCCAGGCCTTGCGATGTACCCTGGGAAGACTGTTTACTGTTTACCATGGTTTTCGGGACATGTGGAATTCCGGGCCTTGCTGGAGCAGAGCCTGGCACTCTGTGCAGGGACTGAGTGTCCCCCTGACTCATGTCTCTGTCACCCCAGGGTTGCCCAGCAGTCAGCAGCCTTCGCCTGCCAGTGGCCCCCCCGCTGCCCTCCGGCAGGGTCTGAGGGACAGCTGCTCCTTCCTGACATCAGCCCCTGGCCGGGACAGCCAGTCTTGGACTTCTTCGAGTCTGCCAGCTGCTGACGCCATGGGGGGTGGCCCCAGGACACCAGCCAGCCACATGAGCACTTTCCACAGAGCTTCCCCGGGGCCAGCATGGCCCTCCAGAGCCCCTGCTGGGCTCTCAGCCCTCCTTCCCAGGCGGGCAGTGCCCACCTCAGGACCCCCCTACACCTGTGCGAGGAGGCGCCAGAACCCATCTCACAGATGAGGAAACGGAGGCTTAGGGCAGCGAAGTGACCTGCCCAAGGGCAGAGCTGGACCTGAGCTCCAACCCGGCTCCTGCACCCTTTCAGCCCCGCTCTGTGCTCGAGGCTTTGGTACCCCCATTGGGTGTACAGGACAGGGGCACTGAAGGAGCAGCCAGCCAGGTGCCCACCACTGCAGTGCAGTCAGGCAGCGGGACCCCTTACACCAGCCCCAGGACCTAAGAAAGATTGGAGTCAGGGGCTCTGGCTACAGGGAGAGGGGATGCTGCCTCCTGCCGTGGCCCCCGAGGCGCCTCTGCAGCCCCTGCTGGGGCCCACCCAGGTACACCCAGGACAGTGGACTTGGGCAGATCCTGTGCTTTATGCACCTCACTTGCTCCATTGGCACGGTGGGCACGACCCAGGGACAGTGGCGAGCCCTGAGCCGGGGAGGGGTACTCACTGGCCTTGGTGTCATAGAAGGCAAAGTTCCCGGGGTGGATGGCTGGCTCCTCGCCGCCCTCCTCGTCTTCCTCCAGTGACCGCCCGCCCACCACCACCAGAACCTCCTCCAGATTCCCCAGGAGGGCCGGCAGCACCTGCAGGGCCGGGAGGGCAGGGTCAGAACAGTCTTGACTGTCTCCTGGTGCCCAGGGATGCGAGTGTCCTGCTGTGCCAGCGTCCACTCATGGGGCCAGGTGGGCCTCAGCACGTTTGCACGCATGCATGCATGTGTGCATCCATGTGTGCATGTGTGTGTGCATATTGCTGTGGGGCTGGAGATGGTGGCAGGTGTGCCACGAGGGGAGGGCAGCAGGTCCATGTGTGCCCTGAGCAGCAAACCTGCTGATCTCCAGCAGTCAGCACACGCCTTTGAAGGCATTTCTGCACCCACCTTTGGAAGTGACCCAGAGCCTGTCCCCAGTACCCCACATGAGCCTTCCCCTTTCTCCCAGGAGTCCCTGTTGCCCTGGCAGACTGCAGCAGGTTGCACTAGGATGGCTCCAGCCTGGCGGGAAATGCTGGAATGCTCACACATGGAATGGCCAGTAAGTAGCCACTGCCCAGGACTCCCCGGATCCCATGGTCCCCCACCGTCACCCTGGCCCCTCCTATGGGATGCCTGGATCTCCCAGCACCAGAGATTACAAGATGACCACCTAGCCAGGAGCGGCCCCCAAGCCAGCTGCAGTAGAAAGCCAAGCCCATTGTGACTGGGTATCAGCGGTGGCAGGGGTTAGGATTTTGCCCACCACATGGTCCATCCGTGGCCTGGGAACCATCAGCCAGAACCACTTCTTCATTCTGACTTTCTTTGGTCCAAGGGAGTACTCTGAGCAAGGCCCCTGGGCAGGCTGCCTGCAGCTGAACCATCCGTCGGCTCCTTGTCCCAGCCACACCCAGGCCTGTCACTTCATCAGGACTTACTCAGCCTGCTGGCCCACTGCCAGCACAAGTAAGAAGTTTTACCCCATAAATGCATGAATGGCTTCCTCAGGAGCAGGCGGGCTGCCATGACTCTCTGTGCCCGTGCTTGTGCATAATCCCTGCCACCTTCCAGGATGGTTTTCCCTCCCTTCCTCTTGCTGAGCCCCTATCCCTCCTCTAAAGCCCGGCTCAGGTGCTGCCTCCTCCAGATAGCCCTCCCTGACTTCCAGACCCTTCAGAATGTCCCTAGTGTCCTGTGCATGTGCCCCACCCAGCACTGGCCGTTCCACTCTGCTTGAGGTCTGTCCCCAGGAGCTGTGGGCTCCTTCAGGACAGGGGTTAGGTCTTATCATTTCTAGGTTCCCTTTTCCCTCATGTCCAGGGTGTGGCACACAGGGGCACAATCTGTACTCGAGGGGTGAATGGTAACACCCTCACAGGTAATCAGCCCAAGGCAAGGAGCATTGCAAGGTCGGGGGGCACCTGAAGGATGCCCTCTCTCCCCTCCACCCCTATGCAGGTGGGGTCTCTGGGGTTCCTCTCCCTGCCTCCCCAGGGATGGGAGCACCTGGACCCTCACTTACTCCACCATGGCCCTGGGACAGTACTGCCTGGCATGCTTCTGACTCCCGGATCAGCGGCTCGGTGGCCAGCAGCTGCTGCACACAAGGCCTGGGCACGGCGTCCAGGTGCACCAGGCTGAGCAGCTCAGGCAGATGGGAGGCCCGGGCCTGGGGGTCATGGCGCACCCAGCGCAGCAGGGCCTCCAGCCGGCTTTGCTCCGGCTGCACCTGCAGCAGGTCGCTGGCCAGACAGGTGGCTAGCCGGTCTCGGGACAGCTGCAGGAACTCATCCTCCTGTGCCACGGCCTCAAAGTTCTCCCGCAGGAAGGCCCAGGCCTTGGCAGCCACGCCCAGCAGCCCCTGCTGCTCCCCAAACTCACAGATGCCCAGGCAGTTGGCAGCATCCAGCTGCTGCTGCAGGTAGCGGCCGCAGACCTTCTGCACGGCGGGGAAGTGCAGGCGGGCGGCCGTGCGCGTCAGCGCCTCCACGTTGCCCTGGGTGATGGTCAGGCGGCCCGTGTACACAAAGTCCACCAGCTGCCCCACCACGGCCGGCTCCACGTCCCGCAGCTCCACGCGTGCGGAGAAGCTCTCGGCAAAGTCTCCTGCAAACATGGCATGGAAGTAGGGACTGCTGAGTGCCAAAAGGCCACGGTGGCAGGGCAGCTCCTGGCCGCCCACCAGCAGCGTGACGTCGGCCAGCTTGGGCTGCGAGCGCAGCCGCTGCAGGCCGTCCAGCATGTCCTGGGCATGCGAGGGCAGGTGGAAATCCAGGTCATCCACATTCCGCACCATGATGCCAGTGCCAGCGGGGGACCCCTGGCGGCCCACTCACTCACGGGGAAGAAGTGAATGGAGCCCACCGGAGCTCCTAGGGAGAGAAGAGAGCAGGGTAAGCCAAGGGGGACCGTCTCACTTACCTGAATGACCCATCTGTCCGACCGTCTGTCCATTGGTCCTTGCCATCTGTGAGCAAGCACGGGCCGGTCCCATTTTACAGTGAGGAAATTGAGTCTCAGGGAGGGTGGGAGACCTACCCATGGCCAGGCTAGTGGGGCAGCGCAGGGCTGGGTCTCCTCCGCAGCTCTGGGCTACACAGAACAGACCCCTAGAGCATGGGGACCCCCAGCACCCACACTACCAAGAGGCTTCCTCTGTCGCAGATCTAACATTGCTGGGGGGCCCTCGAGGGACATTTGAGAGGTTTCCTGCCCCACTGATCTCACTGTCTGCCTGCCGTGATCTTGCTGGTGACCATGGGCGAGCCGCACCCCTCTCTGGTTTCCTCATCTGCTATCAAAGGCTGACAGGGGGGCTCGGGCCGCCCCCTCACCACGGTCGCACACAGCCACCCTGCTCCCCGCATGCCCAGCCATGGGCACGCCTTGCCACACATTCCTCTCTCAGCCTCACAACAGTCCTGTCAGATGGGGGTGCTCAGCGCTCTTTTTACAGCTGGGGAAACTGAGGCACAGAAGGCTTGAGTCAGTTGCCCAAGATCACACAGCTGGGAAGTGGCAGAGCTGGGATTTGAACTCAGAGCAGACTTGGGGCCCATGGTCTGGACACCCATGTCACCCCAGCTGTGATAAAGACCCCAAAGGCAACTTTCTGGAGGGTCATTTTGCACCACAATGTTCATATTGGTGGGTCAGCAGATCTAGTTCTGGGCTTATTTAATTATGTGTAGGTTTATTTATGTACTTCTGGTATTTGGCCCTAGGAAAACCATCCCAAAGGAACAAAAAGTCTGTACTAAGGTGTTCATCTGGAGTCGCCCCCCAAAAAGCGGCAAAGCCTCCACTAGGGGGTGCCTCATGGGGCCCTCAGAGGGCAGGAGAAGTGGCCTGGCCACTGGGAAATCAGCAGATCAACATGACAAAGCCGCATCTACAGAACCAGTGAACTAGGGACACCTGGGCGCAGCCCTAACGCTGGTTCCGGGCAGTGGGAGCTGAGGCCCCACCATCTCCTCACCCACTGGAGCCCCATCTCCATCCTCCAGAGCAGGAAGTGCCCAAGGAGACCACTTGGGGCCTTCCGAGGACCAGCCTGGGCAGGACAGCCCAGGAGTCCAGTGGGTGCCGATGCCCAGCACCCGGCTGAGTATCCATCCTGCTGACTCCCCCCCAGGGAGGTGCTCTGCCCTCCAAGGGGAAGAAGGGAGACTGGCTGGGGACTGTCCAGGAGAGGGGCACTGTCCCTGGGCCGCCGCCCACAGCCTTGCATTCCGATCATTGCTGTGCTCCCTTTGGCCAGCTGCTACTGTGGCAGCGACAGCAGCTAGCAGGCAGGAACCCCCAGCCACCTTCCCGAGGGGCCTCCGGAATGCCTGCTGCTGCCCGCTGCTCGCAGTCCCAGCGTGGGGCAGGGCCTTCTGGAGGGTCTCAGAGCCTCACCCCAGGGCCTGCCCAGGCCAGGAGGAAGGAAGGGTGAGCGGGCAGGATGGCAAGAGGCCTAATCCAACTTGTGCTGATGACTGGCTGGTGAGGCCCTGGCTGCAGCCTGAGGGGTGGTCCAGCCTCCCCCGGCCACCTCTCCAGCCAGGACACTGAGTGAACCATGTCTGCTGAGCCCCCACCCATGTAAGGAGCCTGGGTTCAAAGCACTCAGCTGTGATCCCCAAGCCCACTGGGCTGCCTGAGCATAACCTTGCTGCCCTGCTGCCACCCACCTGGTCCCCACCTCCCCTGTCATCTGCCCCAGTGCAGAGCCCCCTTGATCCTACCTCTCAGTCGGCCCTGGACCCTGTTGCTGAGAACACAGACCCAAGAACTGGACGCTCAGCCGGCAGCACCAGGGGCAGGGAGGGCCTGTGGGGCTGGGCTGAGCAGCCACGTGGGGACAGAAGTGTATTTTTAGCTTCTGTCTGCATCGGGAGAGAGGGAGGGTGGTGAAGGCTGGGCGGGGGTGGGAGGGAGTGAGGTGAGGGCTCCCCGCCACTGTCAGCTCTGAAAGCTGCACCAGACATGGCCAGTCACGACGGGCAGCCTGAGGCCTTCGTGTGACTGTGCGTCAGACAGACAGATGCAGGAAGCGTTCCAGCAAGGATGAGCTTTAACCCCTTGCTGTGGCAGCAGGGCTGGCCTCCCCCCCACCTGCATTTCCTCATCTGCTTGATGGGGACAGTGGGAGCCTGTGCTGGGGATGCCGGAGGTGCCGACAGGTGCTGGCTTCTCGATTGTTCCTGATGCTACTGATGTGGCCTCTTGCTCTTTTATCTGGTGGGCAAAACTAATTATGAGTAAATGCAAGGGGCCAGCAAAGTCTTTCAGAGCTTGAGGTCCGTGGTGGTGCTGGGGAAGACTCTGGTGGCAAAAGGAGATGCTCAGGGAGGAGAGGAGGTGCCCCCAGGTACCCACCAAGCTGGTGCAGACCTGGAGATCCCAAGACACCTTCCCCTTGGGCTGTCCTGGGGTCTTCATCCCTCGTGAGCACCAGAGACGGCCAAGAAATGGGATCATCTAAAAACACAGCACAGGGGCTCACGGCCCCCACGTAGCACTTGGTTCGTGGTGACCCCAGGGAGCTCCTTATGACTGCTTCTGAACTGAGAGCTGGAGCCACAGGCTCTGAACAAGATTGGGGGATGAGCCCAGGGGACTGAGAAGGGTCTCCAGACATCTCTAATGGCAATGGTCAGAGCAGAGCTTCCCAGCCAAGGGGCTTCAGATGCACAGGAGAGAAGCCCTCAGCCCTCAGCCTGGGTTTCAGGAGGGGCCACTACCCAACAGCCCCTCCTTCCTTTATTTTATTTTATTTTATTTTATTTTATTTATTTATTTTTTCCTTTTTGTCTTTTTTACTGACCGGCAACAGAATCGCAACCCTTGGTGTTGCATCCGCACCGCGCTCAGCCAGTGAGCAGGAACCAGTCTCCACATGGGATCTGAACCCTCGGTGGGAGCGCCGCCACACTCCCAAGTGGCGCACTCTCCAGTGTGCCACCGGGCCGGCCCAACCCCTCTTTCCTTTAGCCACATGGAAGTGTCAAGTATAGTAGTGACCTCCTGATGCCTGCTAGGGACTGGCTCAATGCTCTTATAGACCAGAGGGGCCAGGTAGCTGCCAGGGTGACAGCCCACACTCCTGGCAGATTAGGTAATTCAAGGTGTCGAGGTGTCCTGACAGCCAGGGCCTGGGAGACATAGCACCTGCCCTGCCAGTATAGCTGCCGGTCTGCTGCCTGCTGGGGACATGGCTGGAGATGGAAGCCAAGTCCCACTCCCATGATGTGTGGCCTAGGGAGGAGACCGTCCCCACACAAGCATTGCAGTGATTGATTCAGTCATCCCAAGTTTGCAAGGTGCTTCCATTTGGGTTCCTTATCCCATGCTCCCCTTCCAAGCTCCAGCTCAGCATAGTCCAGCATAGCCCAGCCATAGCCCAATCACAGCCCAGCCATAGAGCAGCCATAGACCAGTCACAGCCCAGCCATAGACCAGCATAGAGCAGCCATAGAGCAGCCATAGACCAGCATAGACCAGCCATAGACCAGCCATAGACCAGCATAGCCCAGCCATAGCCCAATCACAGCCCAGCCATAGATCAGCATAGACCAGTCACAGCCCAGCCATAGACCAGCATAGACCAGTCACAGCCCAGCCATAGACCAGCATAGAGCAGCCATAGACCAGCATAGAGCAGCCATAGACCAGCATAGACCAGCCATAGACCAGCATAGACCAGCCATAGACCAGCATAGCCCAGCCATAGCCCAATCACAGCCCAGCCATAGATCAGCATAGACCAGTCACAGCCCAGCCATAGACCAGCATAGACCAGCCATAGACCAGCCATAGACCAGCATAGAGCAGCCATAGAGCAGCCATAGACCAGCATAGACCAGCCATAGACCAGCCATAGACCAGCCATAGACCAGCACAGTCCAGCATAGTTCAGCTCAGCCCAGCCCAGCCCAGCCCAGCCTTGGGCCCTGTCCCTTCCCCTGCCTCTGTTCCACATAGTCCTAGGACTTTTTCACTGGCCTTGGGCATCAGCCTCATGGGGTGGGGAGTGCTCATGGATGTCCCCACCTGTCACTGTGTCCAGGACAATCATGGGGAGAGTACTGGGGGGGGGACCAGAAGCACCAGGTTGGCCCACTGTCCCCCGTTTGCAAGCAAACGTGAAGGGTTAATGCACTCCCAGCTTCGGCTGGAGGAAATGAGGACAGGGGATTCTGATGACAGGCACTGTCACAGGGAGCTGGCTCAGCTTGGGCACAGCCAGTGCTGCGTGCCAAGTGTAGAGGCCTCAGGTCAGACATCGTGGGGATCTGAGACTCAGCACCTCGAATGACAGGTCAGTTTGGGAAACTCAATACCAGGGACTCAAAATGGATCCTCATCAACAGATTGCTACTGGGTATTGCAGTTTTTAAAAATACGCTGCTTGTTTCTTTTTATGATGATAAAAATAACACACGCTCATTTCGGAAAACACAGAAAAATATAAAGCAGGAAAGTCCACCGGTAAGAGACAGTCGCCATTAACACACCGTATCTTCCCTACGGTCTTTTACCTTCTCAGGATTAGAATTGCTGCCCGTACGTGTTGTGACTCCTCTTATCACCTGATCGCATGTCATGAGCATCTCTGATGTGATCACTGTTTGAAAATATGATTTTAAACTTAATCTCAACAGGGAGAAATCTCCCTTTACGAAGTTGGAAGTGACTGGATGTCCCTATTAATGGGCATTTAGGCTGTTTTCCATTTTTTACCACTATAATGAAGACGGAGTCACCTCTGTGGTTACCCCCCTGAAATAGATCCTGAGCATGGAATCACCAAGTTAAAATGTGCGAGCATCTTTAAAACTGGGTGTGCGTGCCAGCGGGACCTGCAGCCTGGAGGGACCGGGGCACCT